CAAAAAAAAAAAAAAAAAGAAAGAAAAAAGAACCATATGATTATATCAATCGATGCAGAAGAGACATTTGATCTAATTTATCACCTGTTCCTGTTCAGAACTCTCAGCAAAATAAGGATAGAATGGAAATTCCTCAACATAAAAAATGTATATATGCAAATCCAACAGCCAACATCATTATTAATGGAGAAAGTCTCAAGGCATTCCCCTTATGAAGGGGAACCAGACAGGGATGCCCTCTATCACCCCTTCTAGTTAACATTGTATTGGAAGTCTTGGCCAGGGCAATAAGACAAGAAAGAGAAATGAAAGGCACACAAATTGGCAAAAAGGAAGTAAAAACTATCTCTATTTGCAGACGATACAACATGATCCTATACATAGAAAACCCAAGAGATTCAACAAAAAGATTACTGGAACTAACAGAGAGGTTCAGCAAAGTGGCAGAATACAAGGTCAATATACAAAATTCAGTTGGATTCCTCTACACCAACAAAGAGTCCTCTGATAAAGAAATAAGGGAAACAATACCATTTACAATAGCTATTAAAAAGACAAAACATCTAGGAATAAACCTTACCAGAGACACAAAAGACCCATGCAAAGAGAACAATAAAACACTACTACACTCCTTGGAAGGAAGGTTGGGCAATCCTACTTCCGTAGTGATACTGCCTCGGAAACCCAAGGAGGGGTCGCTATGAGTCGGGGCCGACTCGACGGCACATAACAACAACAACAACAACAGTACTACAAGAAAACAATAAAACACTACATAAATGGAAGAACCTGCCTTGTTCATGGATAGGTAGACTGAATATTGTGAAAATGTCACTACTATCTAAAGCAATCTACACATTTAACGCAATCCCAATCCAGATACCAATAAAATTTTTTAAGGACATGGAAAAACCAATTACTAACTTCATATGGAAAGGAAAGAGACCTCGGATAAGCAGAACACTTCTGAAGAAGAATGAAGTGGGAAGTCTCACACTCCTAGATCTTAAAACCTACTATACAGCCACAGAGGTCAAAACAGCATGGTATTGGTGCAATGATAGACAGATAAACCAGTGGAACAGAATTGAAAGTCCAGAAATAGACCCACCCATCTATGAACACCTGATCTTTGACAAAGGTCCAAAACCCATTAAATGGGGAAGAGACAGCCTCTTTAAGAAATGGTGCTGGCAAAACTGGATATCCACTTGCAGAAAAATGAAACAAGACCCATACCTTACCCCATACACAAAAATAAACTCAAGCTGGGTCAAAGACTTAAATTTAAAACCCAAAATTATAAAATACATTAAAGATAAGATAGGGACAAATCTGGGAACCTAATTTATGGCATAAATAGACTATGCAGCATAACCAAGAATGCACAGGAGCGAGATGACTGGGACTTTTTAAAAATTAAATTCTTGTGCACATTGAAAAACTTAGTCAAAAGGGTAAAAAGAGAACCTACAGTTTGGGAGAAAATATTTGCCTGACATATCTGATAGGGGACTTATCTCCAAAAATCTATAGAAAACTTTAACACCCCAATATCAAAAAGACAAACAACCCAATTCATGAATGGGCAAAAGGCTTGAACAGACACTTCACTGAAGACAGTATATTTTGGCCAACAAACACATGAGGAATTGCTTGTGATCATTAGTCATTAGAGAGCTGCAAATCAAAACAACCATGAGATATCATCTAACCCCAGCAAAAACAGCAAAGTTCAACAGGACAGAAAATAACAAATGCTGGTGAGGTTGTGGAGAGATTGGAACTCTTGTGCACTGCTGGTGGGATTGTAAAATAGTACAACCATTGTGGCACATGGTATGGCATTTCCTTACAAAACTGAAAATAGAAATACTATTTGACCCAGCAATTCCATTACTAGGAATATATCCTAAAGAGGTGAGAGGCAGCGCATCAACAGACATATGCACAACTTTGTTCATCGCAGCACAATTCACTATAGCAAACAGATGGAAACAACCTAAATGCCCATCAGCGGATGAGTGGATAACCAAATTATGGTACATGCACACAGTGTCTGATGCTTGTACTCTCAAATCCTCATTTGTCTTTGAATTAGCTTTGAGAATGGTCTCTAGCCTATGCCATGCTTGGACCCTGCATGTAGCCATGTCGTTTCTCAGCAGCCTGCTATGCTCCGCTGACCTTGGGACTTACAATGGACTTAAGTTAATGGCCTGCCATCTGGTTTGGTAACATCGGGACTGTGCCTTTTTACTTGTCAACCTTGGGGAGTTCTCAGCCTCAGCAGCCAGCAGCTGTCTGAGTGAAGAAATGCCTCTAGCTCCAGTGGGCCGGAAGCAAGAGGCAGAGCCGGACCCCAAGGTTGAGGGGCTTTCACCCAGCCCCTAGAGCCTGGCAATTTGAACTTGGACTTAAAGCCTCCAAATTGTAAGAATAAACTCCTGTTTGTTTCAGGCCATCCCATTTGTGGTATATTTCTTGTCAGAGTGGTACTAGGTAACCAGAATACACCTCATTGTCCAGGTTCATTCAGCTGGCAGAGTGGCAGTGCAGGCCTCACACCAGGCCTGATTGATTCCCATCCTCCTGCTGCTTCTACTTTGTCGCTATGCTCTGAGACAGACAGAGGAGCCCTGGGAATACGGTCGGGTAGCCTAGACAGTCCCCTTTGGCAACATCACTTGCCCCAATGATGCCAAGACCCTTTTCCCCTCCACTGGGCTTCAAGAGTGACTAGAAGTCAGTATGATTTATGCTGGGACCACCTTCCTTCCCTGCATCTTGCTGCTGCTTCGCAGAGTTCTCTTAGCTGGAAAGAAAGGCAAAAGGTCCCTTCTGAGACTAATTCAAAGACAAATGAGGATTTGAGGGTACAAGCATCAGACTGCCTTGTCCTTAAAGGGCTATTATCCAAAGGAGAGGGCTTCTAATGCAGCAGCTGTAACAAGCAGGTGGCCTGAGGATGATCTCTGCACTAACCTGTTTTGAAAGAGTACAGTCTTTCTCTTGTGCAGGCATGGACAGGAGAATGGGTATCTCTATGAGTTTGTGTGTCTGTATGTTTCAATGTATGAGTGTATGCATGTAGGTGGGTGTCTATGTGCTTATATGTGAGTGTGGATATGTGTTGGGGTGCTGTCTGTATGTGGAAATGTGAATGTGTGAGTCTGTGTGTAGGTGAGTGGGTGTCTGTGTGTTTCAGTGTGTGTGTGTTTCTGGTGTGGTGTGTATGTAGCTATCTGTGTATTTCTGTGTGAGTGGCTATGTATGGGGGGGGTGTTTCTGTGTATGTGTATTCATTTTGGTGAGTGTAGGTGATTGTTGGAGGGGTCTGTAAGAAAGGGCTGTGGGGGTACTAGGAGAGAGCCCTTGTTGCCTTTTTGTTAGCCCTCTGATGGCCCCAAGAAGGTCTGTAGTAAAACCTGCCTAATGATGACACTTGGAACAGCCTCACTGCCCTTCTAAGCACTCTTATCTATGTTTACCCAAATCCTCTTCTGTGATCCCATAACACAGGAAACCATCATTGCATGTACGTTCACACTACTTTCCTAAATAGCACCACTAAAACAAGAGCAGAGCTCTGAGCTTCACCATACTGAGCTCCGCTCATATCAATCTTACAATGCTTCCATCTTTACCTGGAGCCAAGTATGAAGGACCTGAGAAGTTTTATCCCTGTGAGACAAGTTATCAGTCCTAAAATTTTGTGTCTCACAATACAGATCCATAGCCTCTGCCTCAGCTGCTTTTCTGTCTCTTCTTCCTCTAGAACATGTATCAATCAAGTTGATTTCACTCAGAATTTGGTACACTCAAACAACTTATTATAATCAGCAATAAGAATTGTTTATACTTTTCACCTGGCCCACCTGCTGCTTTGTCTGTTAGGGGAAGCTATTGGCTAAATAGGAGCTCTGGTAGCGTAGTGCCTAAGGCACTTGACTGCTAACCAGAAGGCTGGCAGTTCAAACCCACCAGCCACTCCTTGAAAGGAAGATGGGGCAATCTACTTTCATAGTGATACTGCCTCGGAAACCCAGGGAGGGGTTGCTATGAGTCGGGTCCGACTCGATGGCAAATAACAAAAACAACAACATTGGCTAAATTGGCCTTCAGGAGCCAGGTCAGGGGAGAGACAGCTTCTTCTGCAGACTGCCCCTCCTTGTAGGTATCTTACCTCCACTGCCACAGCCAGTCAAGAGCCAAGGTCACCAGTTCATGTTCCAGTTCCCTGAGCTCAGACATCCCCTTGTCCGCCTTCCTTCCTGTCCTTCAAGAACGCCCACAGGCTAGGTGAGGTGAGCTCAGTGGACAGAGACACCAAGACAATGCTGGGGCAGCAGAATGGAGTGTGTAGTGGAGGAAGCCACCCCCAAAAGAGAAGAAATGAATTTGTGATTGTCAATCATTAACAAGTTTCCCCCTGTTCTCTTCCACTGGCAGGCAGCTGCAGATAAAAAGGGAGAAGGAAGTGAGAAGAGCTGTACATGCACCATACAGGGAGGACTGATCCCTGGGAGAGTCCATGGCTGGAGGCCGGAATGCCCTTCAGCTCCTGCTTGCCACATTGGTGGCCCTGATTTCCTTAACCAACCAAGCAAGGAAAAAAACTTTTATGACAGTCCAAGAAGTGTCTGTAACAGAACCTTACGTGGAGGACACAATGCAGTTCCTGATCAGCAAGTACAACCAGGAGAGTGAAGACCTGTACAACTTCCGGGTAATTCGTGTCCTCAGCATCCAGAAGAGGGTATGTACAAGCCCACTCCTCACTGCCTTGCTCCAATAGGGCTGCAAGTGCTGGGAGCATCCCACTCAAGGGATGTTCAAACTTACTTAGGTTGAAGTAGACATTTTAAGAAAAACAAATTCACTAGAGTAGATGAGGTCACTAAAATGATATTCAGGCCCAAAGGCCAAATCTGCCTACTGCCTTTTTTTTTTTTTTTTAATAGTGTCATGGGAACCCTGCACATACATTTGTGTACACTGTCTCTGACTGCTTTCACACTACAACAGCAGAGTTAGAGCTATAATTGCCTGTCCTGGCTGATGTTGAGATGTTCTACCAATGTACCAGTGTGGTACATCAGTTGTGACAGTGACTTTCTGGTCTGCAAACCCTAAAATATTTACTACCCGACATTTATCAAACCCTGCCCAAAGCAATTTTCACTTGTGTTGTCCAAGAGGTAGTTTTGTCCATGGAGAAAGAGATGGTTTCTGGCAAATTTTTCTCAAATGACAAAAGGAGGCAGGGGAGTCCAATAGGAAGGGGAGAGAGAAGCCCACTATTAATCCTGGGCTGGGTCTACTGCCCTGGTGTGGCACATAAAAGACCCCATTATCAAGAGCTATGAGACGGGAAAAGGGATATCTCCTTATCCTTGCTTCCCACAGATTACTGACCACATGGAGTATCACATTAACGTTGAGATGCGACGGACCACGTGTCAAAAATCAGAGACCATGAACTGTGGATTTCAGGATGGAGAGCTTTACAAGGTAGTGGGGGGAAGCACATCAACTTAGAAACAGTTCATTTTTCAGTGGATGTTTCTGTACTTCTAGGATGAAGTAAGGTAGCACTAGTTGGAAGTTTTACTCAACCTTGCTTGAAAGAAATGTGTGGATAGTTGTACACAACTCCTTTTATGAGGAGGGAAAATGAAGATAAACATGAAACTGACTGAAGCCATGCCTGGCAGATATTGCTGCTTCATTACTGAAGGATTGTGGGGAGGAAAAATTGGAGGGAAGAGTTGAGGTGGCAGAGTTGCAGAAGGACAACCAATGTGACTGACTTGGTGTGCCCAGCTGCATATCTGAACATCAGACTGGCTTAGACAGACAGCCCTGGACTCCTGTCCTCTGCTCCTTTCACCTACCAGTGTTTGGAGGAGGATGAGGAGATAAGAAAATTAGTTCAGAAATCATCCAGCTGCTGGTGGCACTGGGGAGGCAAACCCTCTTGTGTATGATCTGCTGAGGAATCCCTCCCTAATGCACCTTAGTCACCTACCTACTTCATTTCCATCCAAGTATTCACTTGAAAGGGGGCTTGCCAGATCTGGCCCCCACCAGTACCCTTGCAGCATGCACAGTCAGGGCAGATACCACATGCACAGGGGACTTTTGGAAGTCTAACATCCTAGCAGCCCTGCATATCACTTTACTTTACCCAAATGAATTCAAACTAGGATGATGTGTGTCTTGCCTGGAATAGCACTGATTTATGCCCAGTATTTTAGTGCAATCATTGATCACTTTTGCTTTTGCTTACAATGTGTTCTCGTTTCATTTATATATGTGGTCACCCCAGTGCTAATGGCCTGAGTGTTTCCAACACAAAGCCTTGTCCATCCACAAGCTCCCTCCTTACTCTCTACAAGAATGATTCCTTAAAATCTGACAGAGTAGACCTTTTTGGTTCTCCGTGACATCTCTGAAAATAATAATAATAAAGTTTACAGGAAAGTAAAATTAAAAGAACGTATTGACTTAAGAGATTGAATTGCTGAAGTTAGTATTGTTTCTTATCATAAGAGAAATGTAAATACTTAAGCCTCCCATTTCCCCACCCAGGGGTTTCAAATGAAGAGTAGGAAAACAAAAATCTGAGAGGTAAACATGTCAGAGTCCTTTAGAGATAACACTAAGAATTGTTAATGGATAATATGTGAAATATATTTAAAGTGTTGTTTTCTTTTTATAATGGGAGAAGAGGCATGAGGGGAAAAAAGTAAATATTGGGAGAGAATAGGGAAAGAAGATAGAGAATGTAATGGATGGATGGAAGAAAGAAAGGAAAGATGGGTGGGTGGATGGATGGATGGAATTTTGGAAGGCTAGATAGATGAATGATAATTGGATGGATGAATGGATGGATTTTTGACTGGATGGATGGATGGGTGAATGGATGGATGCATGGATGCATGCATGGATGCATGCATGGATGGATGGATCCAGTAGAGACAATGAAAGGAAAAGTGTGAAGTGAAGAATACATGAGTAAAGATGAATAGGGAGAAAATAATCAGTAGTTTCCATGGTGAATGGAGCTGGGAAGATATTTTATTTCTACTCTGCAAATATGACAACAAACAGAAAGATACTTTGTGGGGTGCTATCATAAATTTGACTATCAGGTAACTTAAATCAAAATAAAATCAAACTAGATCTGAATTGGAGGATAGTGAGAGTTTGGTGTCATTTCATTGTCTTACCCCCTCTTTCAATTTTAAATGCACCTTAGTCTCTTTTAAATATTGATTTTTGTTTTTGTTTTTTAGCAAATCAAGTGCTCCTTTTCAGTGTTTGTCATACCTTGGTTTGAAAAATATAAAATTCTGAGCAAAAACTGTACCAGTGCCTAGGTGTCTTGGAGCATATACCTGCAGCCACCCTGTTTTATGGGCTCTGCAGTGAGCAGACCACGTGGAGTATAAACAATAAATGTCTATGAACTGTTCTCATAATGCTCTTCTTGGTTTTCATTTCACCCTTCCCCCTGCCCAAAATATTTCACCTCAGAACTGTATAATCTGAAAGTTGTCTGGGCCAGGGCAGTTTTGTAGTCCAGATGAGGTCAAATGAATAGTGCTTTGACTTATAATCCATGCTTGGATGTTAGCTGAATTTAAGCCTTATCCTCATATCAAGTAGGATTCTTTAGATTTGAGAATAAGAAGGTAAAAAGAAGGGAGATAAGGGAAGGGAATAGGCTCAAAGAACATAGCCTTAAAGGTCAGAAGGTATTTGCAAGTAGGGCCCATTTTCATCTCTGAAGGGTCCCAGTAAAGAGTATCAGTTCGCTTGACTAAAGTCTGAAATGAGGAGAGATTATACAAAGAATTCAGAGAAATGAGGGTCGTTGTTACTGATGACTAGGCTGAGAGATGTGCCATATGTTTGCAGGCAAATGTGCTTTCTAATACCAAACCCAAGAATCAGACTTACACCCCCACACACCAGCAATATTGGCCTATAGCAGGTCTCTGCCCCAAGGGATATCTATCTGGGAGGAGCAAAGGAAAAGATATGCTCCCTGCAGGAAGGAGGAAAAGGAGCTCTAGTGGCTTAAAGGTTAAAGTATTCCGCTGCTAACCAAAAGATCTGTGGTTCAAACCCACCAGCCACTCTGTAGGAGAACGATGAGGCAGTCTACTTCTGTAAAGACTTAAAGCCTTGGAAACCATATGAGACAGTTAGTCTGTTCTAAAATGTTGCTGTGCATTGGGATTGACTCAATGGCAGTGAGTTTTGGTTTTGAGCGTAGGAAGGAGGGCCTGGACTAGGTCTGGGCTACAATGCCCAGTTTATTTTTCCCAACTATATCAATCAGGGGGACCTCTGGTGGCATAGTGCCTAAGGCATTTGACTGCTAAACAGAAGGTTGGCAGTTCAAACCCACTAGCCACTCCTCAGAAAGAAGATCGGGCAATCTACTTCCATAGAGATAGTGCCTTAGAAACCCAAGGTGGGGTTGCTATGAGTCAGATTTGACTTGATGGCAGTGAGTTTGGTTTTTTGGATACCAATCAGATTTAAGTCCACCAAGAGAAGAATGGTTGAAGATGGGGAGAGGCCAAGATTACTATGTTAAAATGACTTCCTTTCCATGGATGGCAGCATCAGAAGTTGGGACTAAGCACTTCCATACCCCAACAGCTTGATTCAGGGTTTTAAAAAATGTCCCCAAGTCATCTCTCCACCTATTTCTTCCTTGTGGTCTCCAAGTGGCTGCCAGAAGCGTATTGGGCCACATCAGTCCTCCTTCATATTCAGTAGGAGAAAAGAAAAAGATCTCAGAACTCAGGCAAAAGTCCTGGGGTGTAATGCTACTAGGGAACTCTAAAGACAATGTACACACAAACCCCACACATTCACACATGAGCATACACACCAAACACAAACACATACACACATGCACACACACACAACATATATGTATGTGTGTGTGTGTGTGTGTGTGTGTGTATATATATATATATATATATATATATATATATATATATACATCTGAAAAGAGAAGGAGTTGGGGTGTTTATCCAACAGCTCCAGTCAGTTATTGGCTGAGGATATCTCCTCAGGGGCATTAATCACCTAGAACCCCTAGCCTGGGGTGACTCCAGGACAAGCAAGCAACCAGAGAGTTACATCAGCAAGGGGCACGCTTGCTGGCATTTGGAAGTAAGCTGGCATGCACAGAAAGGGTAAGACCTGAAAGGATACATGCAAAGCACCAAACAGGATACTCCTTACTCTTAGTAGTGAACTGAGATGGAGTTTCCCCCAGTTGAAGATACCTGGGAACTGTGAAAGAACAAGGAGCTCTGGTGGTGTAGTGCCTAAGGCATTTGACTGCTCAGAAGAAAGGTTGGGCAATCTACTTCCACAGTGATACCACCTGGGAAACCCAAGGAGAGGTCGCTATGAGTCAGATGTGACTCAATGGCAGTTTTAGTGTGCTCAAGAATCTATTTCAGGTGGGACTCAGATGGGATTCCCCTCCACCAACTATCTGTGCAAATGCTAACCTACAGTTTCCTCATCTTTAACCTTTACTAATAATACTGACTTTCTGGAATAGTTATAAGAATTAATGATAATGCACGTAAATTGCTTAACATAGCTCTTAGCGCAGAACAGATTCTCAAATCAGTGTTAACACTTAGTAGAAATATATGCAATACAGGTACCAATTGTTCCAGTTACTCCATCAGAATTCCTCTTTTTTTTAAGTTTTCATTACTATTGCCTTTTATTATCATTATCTTTGTAAATCTTATCTTTATTTGTTTTTGGGGGTTAAAAATATTACATATAAACTTACAGATATATTTTAATACATGCATACGTAAAAATATGCACATATGTTAAAAAAAATGGATGGCATGAACATTTTGTCAGTTGTAGTAACAACTCAACTTGTGGAAACTTCTGTGTCATCTGGTGTATCCCTGGGAATGGGGATGGCATTTCTACTCAGAAAATTAGTGAAAGGTGTCTATATGGTCATTTTAGGTGCCGCAATATTGTATGTAGTACATATGACTATAAGATACACCAAAAAAAGAGTCTTAAGTGTGGTTCAGCATAATTCAAATATAGATAATCGAGGACTACTTGTAGAAGACATGTAATATTAATCAACATTCAATACTCATCTGTTATTGTGGCTATTTTTCTCTCTGAGGAAGTTGTTATAATTTGAGCGAGAAGAAAAGGTGGAATATTTGTACCTATTAATCTATTGAATCTCCAATGGAATTTTTTGTCATTAAAATAATTACAGATTCATAGGAAGTCACAAAAATAGTTCAGAGAAATCTCCTACACCCTTCATCAAGTTTCCCCCAATGGTTATATCTTAAGCAACTATAGAAACATATCACAAGGAAACTGACATTGGGACAATGTGCACGCATAGCTCTACACCATTTTATCACATAGGTAGATTTTGTAACAAATCATGATACAGAACACATAGATCTCCATTGTGCTGCTCCTTTACCCAACCCCTTTCCACCCTCCATCCAATCTCTAATCCCTGTTGTTAGGTGAGGTCGAGTCGTCTCTGACTTGTAGCAACACAGCAGAATCAAACATTGCCCAGTCCTGTGCCAGCCTCACAATCATTGTTAAACCTGAGCCCATCCTTGCAGGCACTGTGTCAATCCATCTTGTTGAGGGCCTTCCGCTTTTTTTGACCCTCCACTTTACCAAGCATGATATCCTTCTCCAGGGAACGGTTTCTTCTGACAACATGACCAAAGTAGGTGAGACGAAGTCTGGCCATTCTCACTTCCAAGGAGCATTCTGGCTGCACTTCTTCCAGGACACATCTGTTAGTGCTTTTAGCAGCCCATGTACTCTTAGAATTCTTCACCACCATCACAACTCAAAAGCATCAACTCTTCTCCAGTCTTCCTTATTCATTGTCCAGCTCTCACATGCATATGAGGCAATTGAAAATACCATGGCTTGGGTTAGGCACACCTTAGTCGTCAAGGAGACATCTTTGCTCTTCATCACTTGCAAGAGGTCATTTGCAGCAGATTTGCCTAATGCAATATGTTGCCTGCTGACTTGACTGCTGCTTCCATTGGTGTTGACTGTAGAACCGAGTAATATGACATCCTTGACAACTTCAATCTTTTCTCCATTTTTGGATGCTAATCCCTAGCAATCACTAATTTGTTCTTCATCTATATAACTTTGCCAGTTTGAGATTGTTGTATTTTGTGATTGGACATAATGCCCTGGAGATTCATCCAGTTTGCTGCATATATTAATAGTTTGTTCCATTTTATTGATGAGTGGTATCTCACAGTATAGATGCACCACTTTTTTACCTCCTCATTTATTGTAGAACATGTCCTTGTTTTCAGTTTGGGACTATTTCAAATGAAGCTTCTATTAAGAATTATGTACAGGCTTTGTGTGAACCTACGTTTTTATTTCTCTGTGATAAACACCCAAATATGAGAATGCTAGGTTATATGGTGAAGTGTATGTTTACTTTAGTTTTTTTAAGAAACTGACAAACTGTTTTCCAGACTGGCTGTATTATTATGTAATATCCCTCTCTGTTCCTGGTCATTTTCTTTGGTCTGAAGTCTCCTTTATCTTTTTTCACTATAGCAGCCCACTTCCCTTCACCATGTCTGATTTAATGCTCACCTGGTCTGTTTACCTATGAGCCATGTAAAGGCAAGAGTCATAAGTCTCCTTCCACAAGCCATGAGAAATAGGAGGCTCAAAAATTTACATTACAGCAGAGAGTAGCACAGTAGGTCAGTGGCTGCTGTCCTAGGATTGGCCCTCCTGCAAAGTTGGCTTTGGCTAGAATCTGTGAATTCCAATGGTAAATAATTCCTATGCTGATAAAAAATGTTCTCAAAATTATAAAAGTGTACTGTGCCTAAATTGTTTGTACAATGTTGTTTATGGTGAACACCTGATTTTCTTCTGAGTGTCTGGAATCTTAGTATGGACGACGTAGACGATACCTACATGACTAGCCCCCAGTAAGAACCTTGAATGCTGAGTTTTAATGAATCTCATTGGTTGACAATGCATTGCCTTGTGTGCCTACACTGGAAGAGGTCTCTTGGAAGCTTGCTCCTGACTTCCTCTGTATTTCATTCCATGCACTTTTTCCCTTTGCTGATTTTGTTTTGTGTCCTTTCACTGTAATAAATGTTAGCTGTGAGAATGAGTGTTGTGAGTTCCCCTGCTCGATCACTGGACCTGAGTTTGGTCTTGGCCCCCAATACTCACAAAGAATGTATGAGTCACAGTGTTATATATGCATAATAGGGCTCCTCCAAGTTCAGGCCAGAGGTCAGGATGTACCTGGATCCAGAAAAGCCAAAGAGAGATGGTCTAAAGGAGAAAAATTATGAAATCTTTCTGCTCAAATTATATTGATTCCCTAAAGGTGCTTAGTGCCTAAGGCACTTGAGTGCAAACCAGAAGGCTGGCGGTTCAAACCCACCAGCCACTCCTTGGAAGGAAGACGGGACAATCTACTTCCGTAGTGATACTGCCTCAGAAACCCAAGGAGGGGTCGCTATAAGTCAGGTCCGACTCAACGGCACATGACAACAACAACAACAAAGGCCACTGAGCATATGAGTGTGTGTGCACATGTGTGTGAGTGTGAGAGTGTGTGTTATGTGTATGTGTGTGTGGTGTGTGTTCATGTGTGTGTGTGCATATGTGTGTTTAAGTGTGCATGTGAGTGTGGGGGTATAACAAGACCCGAATGAGAGAGATAAGTCTTTTTAGAATATTATAATAGAAAGTACACAGCAAACTGCTCTAAGGTTGTAATTGAGAGTTTTTACACTTGTTTGCTTAGCCTTCCAGACAAGAATTGTTCCAGAGTTGGTAATAGTTCATCCAAGGCACAGTGTATATCAAAAAATCACAAATGAAACTCTGTGGAAGGAGGAAAAGATCAGTCAGCTTTTTTCGGAGGTGAAGGGATAGGAAATGTAAGCAGCAAACAAAACTTTCTGCAGCTGCAGGCCATCCCTGGGGAAATGGGGAGTTGATGTTGTGTCTGCTCACTGATCATGTGGACAGCTGAGGAAGAATTGCAGGTGTCATGTGTTGGGCCATGCAGCAGGCACATCTGGAGTCTGCAGCCTCACCAGACCAGAGAATTGGGCAGACTAGGAAGGGGCAGCAATACCATCCACTTACCCCAGTCCTCCTGCATCTATACCCCAGGCAGGGGGTGCCTCATGTCTGTCAGCCCACATAAGGTTGCCATCAAAAGGGACTGAGAAGAGCAGGAAGGGGCTGGCTGAAGTTGGAAGAGGAGGAAGAAACTGGCCTTTCTCATAGACCTGAACCAGGACCCCAAAAGAAGAGGAAAAACTGCATCCACGGTAAGGGCTGGGGGGATTAGGCTGGAAAGGGAGGAAGGTGATGCTGGTTGATCAGAAGAATCCAGGTTATTCAAAGGCCTAATTGTCCTTCAGCTGGGTCCAGGCCTGTGTCAGCACAGTATGGCCAGAAAGGCCAATTTAGAAACCTTGGCTTCCTCTGCCTCGGGCCCTCAGGTGGTACCAAATAGCCCCAGGGCTGTGCCTGACCCTAAACCTAATCCACACTGCTAAGAAGTTACCAATGCTCAATTAACTTTTAAACAATAATGATATTATTCCCATATTTGATCTTCCTTTTCAGATGATTCCCACCACATACCTTTTTTAGCTTTTTCTTGCTTTGAATGGGGCAGGAATGATTTTTCATGCTTTTTCTCTTGCATTTGGTTCGGCTAATCTTCACAGTTACTATATACTCCACTCCAGTTGTCAACTATGAGGAAGCAACTCCACTGTTAGTCTGACACCAAGCTCAGGTTGCTGAGCCTCCCCAGGAGAGCTAGGACTAAGACAGAAACCCCAGGAGCCACAGTCCCCTCCGAAAGCTACCATATCAAAGACACAGACCCTTTCTCCCTTCCCAGCTGGAGGATGTACAAAGACAGACAGGGCCCTGGTCCCCATCCTTGTGCTCTGACTGGGCTTGCAGCTGCAGCCACAGATGACTTCTCACTCGTTTCCCATCCATCCTCAGGACAAGGGAGACAACCTGCCAGGCTTGGTTGCCTGGCAACCACTGACCATTTCCATGTCTGCATACATGGTCCTCAATGCACACAGCCTTGGCTCTCCTTAACCATTTACTCATTTCTTCTTTCTCCTTCCCAACCAACTTGATGGGAAGCAGTTTAAGAGTGCAGTTTTTAGATCTAATTGATTTAGGTTTTGAGTTTCCCATTTATTAACTGTGATCTTGAGCAAGTAACTTAGCAACCTCAGTTTCTTCAGGTTTAAAATACAGATAATCATTATGCTTGCTCATGGAGTTTTTATACAGGTTAAATGAAAATATACATAAAAATAATTTAACAATGTGTCTGCAATGTTGTTAACAGTCAATGAAGTTTAACTATCAGTGGTGTTATTAATTATCTGAAGCAACTATGGAGGTGGACTAGCAACAGAAGAGAAAGCAGAAGAATTGTGCTCAAGTTCCAGCTTTATCCCCTGCCAACTCTGTCACCTTGGACAAGTCCTCCATCTGACTGAGTCTCAGTTTCGTCAGCTAGCAAATGGGGAGAATAATGCCTGTTTACTCACAGGATCTGTGTGGAATGAAAGAAGGAAATGTGGCAAATATGTGAATATATAAATCATGTAAAGTGTACACCAAGGGCTGTTTCCTTTACTTGTGATTATTTTCTTTAATAACGTCCAAGTATGAGGCTGTGAAGACTATGAAGAGAGAATGAGAAATATGAAACCCTTCTTGGACAGGGATGTTCCAAACTCATAAGTGAAACTAACAAATAATTTCATAGTCAAATATTGTCTATTGGAAACTGCACTGAGTTTTCTGAGCATCTGCAGATTCAAGAGTTCTGCACTGGTGAGGTGAGAAGTTCTTGGAACTTTCCTGTGCTCTTATCCAAATGTCATTAGTCAAACCAAATGAGATGGACCAGTACTCTGGGGATGGCACTAGAGGCAGAGAGTGCTCACACCATCCCCAGGAAGAAGATACTCTCAGAAAACTTGAGGAGAAAACATAGGGGAATTAAGCCTACAGTCAGCACAGAGATCCTCTTCCCAGCATGAACCAAAAGGGCCTAGAGTAGAGTAACTCTGTGGAAATGTACTCTCTTCAAAGACCAGTGCCATCCAGGAGTTGGCATCTTGCAGGGCTTGTTCCAAGCTCTTTCACGTTGAGAATCTAATTTTACCTTCAGGATACCCTATATGGAGAACTAACAACACTGGTCATAAGTTTAACTAAACTTCAGTAGGTAAAGTGCTTTCTTACTCATGGTTAAATAATATTAGGAATAATCATAATAACAGTGCACATTTTTACAAGTAAAAATATCTGTCATCTCTGTGCTAAGTATATACTCTCCTTACTGTAAAAGTGAGGAAACTGAGGCTTGGAGAGTGTGGATGGCTTTTGGCCAAGATCCTATATTTAGGAAGACCAAAAAAAAAAAAAAAAAAATCAAACCAAACTCACTGCCATGGAGTCAATTAGACTCATCGCAACACCTCCTTGAGTTTCCGAGGTGGTATCACTACAGAAGTAGACTGCCCAGTCTTCCTTCTGAGGTGTGGCAGGTGGGTTTGAACTGCCAGCCTTCTGATTAGCAGTTAAATGCCTTAGGCACTATGCCACAATTGCTCCTCAATTAGGAAGAAGTGGTTTGAAACTCAGAAGTGGAGGCTGCAACTAAGCACAGGCACACACTATGCCTGCCTCCTACACACCTTTGTGAGGTATTAGGACTGACACATGCTGCACCAAGTATGGGGATGCTGAGAGGCCTTACCTAAATTAATTCATTTACCAAGGGGAGAACCTGAATGACAGCAAAATTTGCTCATAAACAATTACTTTATAATGAACTGTTCATGATCATGGACTGATTTCATAAAACAGGCCTCCTAGGATTCTCAGATGATTTTTCCTTGGGAAGACTAATCAAAGAGAATAATCCATCTCCTACAATAACTTTGGTCAATAGCTGCTGACTACTAACCAGAAGACTGGTGATTCAAACCCACCAGCCACTCCTCAGAAGGAAGACTGGGCAATCTACTTCCATGGAGATACGGCCTCAGGGTTGCTATGAGTCAAATCAACTCGATGGCAGTGAGTTTGGTTTGGTAGTTTTGGTTTGTAGCCACATCATTTCAGTGCTCTTGGCCCTGATGATGAGCAATACCACCATCTTATGGGAAAAGTATGTAACTGTTTGAGACAAAGACACATAGAAAAAACCCACATGCTACAGCTATATCTAATAGTATAGTGCCTAAGGCATTTGACTGCTAACCAGAAGGCTGTTGGTTCAACCCACCAGCCACTTCTCAGATGGAAGACTGAGCAATCTACTTCTGTAGTGATACTGCCTCGAAAACCCAAGAAGGGGTTGCTATGAGTCAGATCTGACTCAATGGCAGTGAGTTTGGTTTTTTAATTTTATAGCTATGAGTCGGAATCTACTCGATGGCAGTGAGTGGGTTTTTTTTTATTTGTCTGTTTTGTTTTGCTTTTTATGTTACCCTAACACTACATGCTCTTCTTTGTCACCACCCCACACACACATACACTGGTTTCTACTATTCCAGCTCCTTTCCTCTCTGACTAGGGCCCTTTTTCCCCATTCAATTATTATTCTCCCCCAACTCCAGCTAATTAAAGTAATATGAGTTATTACCTCTGCACCAATTCAACTTGAGTGCTGGGCTACTACCTGAATGTTGGTGGTTCAAATCCATCCAGCAGAGCCATGGAAGAAAGGCCTGGTGATCTACTTCCATAAGATTTTAGTTATTGAAAGCCCTATGGAGCATAGTTTTAGTCTGCACACATGGTGTAGCCATAAGTCAGAATTGGTTCAATGGTAATGGGTAACTTGTTTGACCTTGAGGGGAGGTTGGACCAATAAAAGTGCTTTTCAAACAACTTTTCTTTCCTCTATCACCCTTCATTCCAGAGAGAAACTTTGTACATAAATAAGAGGGGAGGTGATCTAGGGGAAGCCTACCCCTCACACTCCTCTCCCCCAGAAAAAACTCACTGTGTCATTCCAGTTTTCTGTAGAACACAATTAAGATGTCACAAACCTTGACACTGAAAAAAAATATTGTTGGAGGAAGCAGTCCTACAGAGAATTAATGTTTCTACTTTGCCAAATAAGACCATGAAAGAAAACAAAATTGGCCTCATTTGCTGTCACTGTGGTTTCATCAAGTCCTTGCTTCTGTTTGAAATATTTTATAATAAAAATAAATAAATACATTTAGTAGCAAAAAAAAAACATATTACAAAAAAGACAGTTAAACATAATTTCAGGAAAAAAAAAAAAAAATTCTTCCCAAGTAAGGACAGTTGAGAACTTCAGTAGATAATTTTGCTTCAGACTAACAGCAACCTAGTTAGGATTTCACTCCAGTCTTTAGCATTTAGGAAGTGGGACTAAAGCAACTCTGGGATCTGCACAACTCTAAACTGTGCCAATTCTAAGCTAAACTTCCTGTCACTTGGTATATCACTTGGTACTCCCTGGGACCACAATGGGAGCCCTCTGCCCAAGTGAGCATGAACAGGGAAACACACACCTGCATCTGAGTTCGAAGTAGCTTGTCAATTCGAAATAAGTAGCTGTCATTGCTGATATTGTTGTAGCTCTGAATTAAAAAATTGAGTGTTCCATTCATGTTTTGCTTGCTCATGGGCTTCTCCTGGAAGCCCTCCCACCTCTGAAAATGGGCCAAATTGATCACCAAAACCAGGGAGACCAGCAGCAACAGGGGATTCCACCAGCTTCCAGCCCTCATCTCTGCAGCTTCAGAAGCCTCCTATCCAGCTATACCTTCCAGGGTGGGGAAATGCCAGGCAGTGGCTCGCCCGTTCTCCACGGCAGCTCTTGTCCACACAGTCTTTCCCTGGAGACAGCCTGCCTGCATTTAAACAAAGATTTAAGCCCAAACATGGTCTTCTGAGACCCTGCCCATAGTTTGAAGGAAAGACAAGCTAGCCCAGTCTCCCAGCCTAGCTGCCCAGCCCACTATCCAGTCTTCATTTGTTTTCTATACGTTTATGATGCCTATCCAGTTCCTTGGTGATCCAGGCAAGCAGAATTTCTAAACATTTATTGAAGTGGATAAGACCCTTTCCCTGCCTTCACAGCTACCAGAGGGAAAAAAACAAACAAACAAACAAACAAACAAAAACAGAAAGCCACCAAACAGAACTTTTCAATGTTAAACACTAAAATCTGCTATGACAGATAGAGGAGAGCCACTGTGGGACTCAGGAAAGGCCTATGGAGAAGGTCAGATCTAAACTGAGGTTTAGGGAATCAGGGAAAGGAACAGTGGTAGTACTTTCAACTTACCTATCTCACATTCCAACTGTCTAACTAAACTATCAACTGTTCCTTGTGCTTTCTCTAGAAATAGATTCCCCTTACTCACCTGCTCCCTCCTCACCACAGATTTCTGCCTGCTGGATCCCACTGTACCTGTATGCTCTGGTGCTAGCTCTTGCTATCTTGGTGTGACCCCAGCAGAGCTTTGTGAGGTAATCCCAGCTGTTCTATGAAGGAGGAATAAGGTATGATGCTTACTCAGAAAATAATCCTACAGATCCTGAAGGTTAGGGACCACTTGTACCCAGAAACACAAAAAAGCTCTCTGCTTTTAAAACAGCTGCTAAGGCAGGATCCAGGATCCTGGATAGGATCTTGCTTAAAAAAAAAAAGAAAAGAACATTTGTGTGACAACTGACAATATGGGAATAAAGTCTGTAGATTAGTGAATAATACTGCGTGAATGTTAACTTCCTAGTTAACCTAGTTGACCATTCTGTTGTGGTTATATAAGATGTTAATGTCTGCGGAAGCTTTAAGTGAAAATACTCTGTACTGTTTTTGTAGCACTTTCGTAAGTCTGAAATTATTTTAAAATGTATAGAATAAATACTAAAACATTAGTCTATGAGAAGCAGTAAATATAGTGGAGGAGGGACAAACTTTAGAATCCAACTGTCCTAAGTTCAAATCCCAGCTCTGTTGCTAACTTTTTAAGTGACTCTGGGTGGGTTACTTACTCTCCCAAATCCAAGGAGGGTTTGCTATGAATCAGGTATGACTCGACGGCACATAACAACAACAACAAGTCAATAGGCAGATTTGAGAGGCAATGAAATCTTATTATCACAAAATATATGAAAGAAAAAATACAAGTACTATAGAGACAATTCTCACTAATATTCTGAATAGAAATGCCATCCCCAATGCCAAGGAAAATACAGATGATCCAGAGCCTTCTACAGGTGGAGTTATTATCACAATTTAAAAAATGCCAACAACATTTAACTCTTCATCATTACAGTAAATTTTTATAATTTGTGAATTTTTATGTACAAATATAAGTATTAACATATATCAGTGAGTTTATATGTAATGTTTCCACTTCTCAAAGACAAATAAAGATCAGATTTATAAAGATTCTGATAATAAAAGGCAATAATAACAAAAACTAAAAAAAGAAAAAATGAGGTATTTGACTTATCCTAGAACAGACTTACGATGGTATCATCAGAACAGAACCTCCTCATAAGTCAAGGACTACCTATACAAGGATTGTGAGTACTGTGTCAGACTGCTCAGATGCAGATAGTTTCAGACTGCCTTGGAACATGGGACATAATCTCCAGACTGGACCTGAGAAGGAAAGCTATAATAGAAAACCCATGAGTATGGTACTAAAATATAAAAAATAAATATGCTTATGGGCACTGGCTATGTCTGTGAAACAAGAGGAAAACAGCTTGATAATTTCTGTGGAATGAGAGAGAAATACCATCATAAAAGGTAAAAGGGATTTGGTCATGTCCATGGAAAAGGAAGGATATTGGGGGTTCTGGTGCCTTAGTGCCTACGGCATTTGACTGCTAACCAGAAGGCTGGTAGTTCAAACCCACCAGCCACTCCTCACAAGGAAAGCTGGGCAATCTACTTCCATAGTGATACCGCCTCAGAAACACAAGGAGGGGTCGCTATGAGTCGGATCTCATTTGTTGGCAGTGCGTTGCATTTGTGTTTGTCATATACAAGGAATAATGGGAAAACAGAACACCAGATAAAGTCCATGGCATTAAGAGAAAAGGGGGACCTCTGGTCCTGTCTATTGAATAAGGCAAAAGTAGGGCATCTGATTGTGTCCATGAAATAAGGGGAATATAGGAGTGCTGGTCAGAGCCACAGGATCCACATAAGGGGAGGGAGACAAGGCCCCACCCAAGAGACAGGAAGGGGGAAGAGCCATGGGATCCAGGTAAGGGGAGGGTGGAGAGATTTCAAAGAGCTAAGCAAGACAAACTTGTCTGTCAATTTGTCCTACTGTGGTGGCATGCATGTTGCTCTGAGGCTTGAGGCTGTGCCACTGGTGTTTCAAATGCCAGCAGGGTTGCACATGGCACACAGGTTTCAATGCAGCTTAAAGACTAAGGCAGACTAGGAAGAAGGAAGATGCCATCCACTTCTCAAAGAATTGGTCAGGGAAAACCTTATGAATAGCAGAGAAACACTGTCTGATACATCACTAGGCAACCTTATGAATAGCCCAAAACATTGTCTGATACAGTGCAAGAGGACACACCCCTTAGGTGGGAAGGCACTGGGAAAGAGCTGACTCCTCAGAGTAGAACCAACCTTAATGATATGGATAAAGAAAAGCTCCTACAACCTCCATTTGCTGATGTGGCATGAATCAAATTGAGGAGAAACAGCTGCAAACATCCATTAAAAATCAGAACATGGAATGTACAAAGTATGAATCTAGGAAAATTGGAAGTTATCAAAAATGA